CAGAGAGACACGAGGAGAGCTGGAGCTTTGATGGCAAACACTGACGGTTTATTTGGAGCTTCGGCCGGAGAATTCACAAGACATGTCACGGGCCACGAGTTGACCACACGGTAGAGATGCCACAATCAATTCTGAAGAACCCTCCTGTAGCTCGAGGTTTGAACTAGTTCAGAGTGTAATAATCAACATTCTTCAATAGATAGACTAAACAGCTGAGGAAACTGAACCACATTTGTTGTCGCTTATGGCTCGGGGTCATCTACACCCCGAGAAGGATGTGTTCCAGGTGTCCCACAACAATAACTATCTCTGACAGAGAGTTGCCCGGTCATAAACTGGCAACATCAACAATATGCTAGGGCCAGTGGCGACTGGTCATTAGGGGCAGGTGGGGCACAGCCCCACCTAGTGTCAGCAGAAAGTATTACAAATAATGATTACAAAAATGCAAAAACATAAATAAAAAAATATATAAAATATATTTTAAGATCATGTTTAATCATCTGATTCGTCTGTACATTGCTGTTTTAGTCTGTGTTCTTCTAATTAGTGTGTCTACAGTCACAGTGTGTGCCTATTGAGCTGTTTAGAGCCATGTGGGACAAAACCTGATGATGCCCCTTCCTCTCGCTGTGAAGTGAACGGTGACTGTAAAAACTACACTGCGCATGCTCAGAGTATTTTTCTATGTAATGTGTGTGGCAAAAAAATAATGACCAGAGGGGCACGGAGCTACCATCCCCACCATACGTCATCTCAAATCATTCAGAGCTGATTGGCTGTAAGTACGTGTGCCGCGAAAAGTGTGGTGCTTGAAGAGGAGACGAGAGAGCTGCAGTGGCGCGTCCTAAAACCAGGAAGTAAGCACAAAAAAGCAATGAGATTTCTCCATAGCATTTTAGAAAATAGCTCGAAATAAGATCTGTGGAAAAAGTACCTGTTAGATAAATGCACATTTTGTTCAGCCGGATAACATCCACATGTCTACCCTACTTTTATACATTTTTTATCATAAATCTATCGATTAGATTTATGATAGACTTTTGAAACTACAAGAAGATAAGGAGGACTTTTACAAAAAAGTTATAGACATTTTTGTCCAGAAGGATAGGCAAATGGACTTCATCTTCAAGTCAAGGTAAGACCGCAATTTTTTGAAAATGGGATCTTACTAAGAGAGAACAATTCAATATTTAAATGATAAAATTACATTTTTTGGGTATCCTTTTGTTGAACTGTCTGTTTAAAATTAATCGAAGCATCAGACAAAAAAAGCTTTTGAAAATAATATTATATTTTGGTTTAGGTCAAAATATAATATTTGTAAACCTGAAGAGTCAGTGCCATGAACCAGCCATGAACCTCACTGCACGTCACTGCAGAAGCTTATATATAGACATCTAAGTTTTTTGTGCCCCACCACTTTTGTACATATAAAAACACCACTGGCTACGTTCGGTCATTCATTGTAACTGGCATGAATACATTGTTTTCCGCTAGCATGTATAGCTAGCCTCGTTAGCTATACATGCAGTATGTACATGTACTGTCACAATGTACGGTAAATCACCCGGAGTATACTGTATGAGTATTCCGTGTGTGACTGCAGACATTCTCCTGCCATGACAAACATGTAAGGCCATCTGCTGACATTGTAGTTGATATATTTAAACTAGGGCTGTCAGTCGATTAAAATATTTAATCGCGATTAATCGCATGATTGTCCATAGTTAATCGCGATTAATCGCAAATTAATCGCACATTTTTTATCTGTTCTAAATGTTCCTTAGAGGGATATTTTTCAAGTTTTTAATACTCTTATCAACATATGAGTGGACAAATATGCTTTATATGTTTGTTTATTATCATTTGAACAATGACAATTCTCATGAATATTAAACACAACAACCTCTGAACATTACAAATATTCGCCTCAATTCAACCTGGAACCTCTCTCATACAATAATACTGTGTGTGTGTGTGTGTGTGTGTGTGTGTGTGTGTGTGTGTGTGTGTGTGTGTGTGTGTGTTGGAGCTATGTGCCGCTCAAGGCATAATGCTCGAACGTGTGCTGCCTGGACGCTGCAATAATGTTGCGCGCACTATCCGTGCTGAGTGTGCTGACTTTTCGTACAATGTCCCACTGTCTGGCTACCTGCATAAAGTCAAGTGCTCGGCGCAGTTGTCGGCGAAATGTCATTGAAACAGCTCCTTATATCCGTTAGCGCAGCTAGCTAGCACCAGATGCTAACAACAACAACACGTAAGGTGTGCCTCGCTCGCGCGAGTCGCGCCACACATACACACTACCTCCCGGTCCTCCCGATGGCCAGTCCGGGCCTGCCGGTGAGCGTGGAAGTGTGGTCTGCCACAAGCGGGCGGCAGGAGCGGGGCTGTCAGCATCAGCTTGTCGATGGTATTTTAAACTCGATGCGCTCTGAAACTACGGGGCGGCCGAGGACAAAAAATACACATGCGTTAATCGCGTTAAAATAATTAGTGGCGTTAATTTCTTTTTTGCGTTAACGCGTTATTAACGCGTTAACTTGACAGCCCTAATTTAAACGCTAGCAACGTCGTTAGCCCAGTAAGCTGGGCTTGTTTAGTGTAATAAAACCACTATGAACAAAAGCTAGTGATTCATATTAGGCTAGCAAGAACGTGTTTACAATTGCAATCTTATACGGGTAGTCTGCTACATTCATTGTAGCTGGCATAACAAAAATGTTTTCCCGAGCAAACCCATGTCTAGCTCCGTTGGTTAGCTCGGTAGCATACACGCTACGCCAGCTATAATGTAATTACGTTTCGCGACTGACCGTACGGCAAATCACCCGGAGTATACTGTCTATGAGTATTTCGTGTGTGAATGCAGACATTCTCCTGCTATGAGATACATGTATGTAAGGCCATCTGCTGATATTAGAGTTGATATATGGAAACGCTAGCAACTTAGTTAGCACAGTTAGCACTGGCTTAGCAGTCCGACACAGTTTACACATTTAAACAATCTTGTTTGATAAATACACAAACAACAATGCAAACTTACAGGTTGTGTACCCGAATCTTCCCCTGCTCCAAACGGTCCAAACAAACTAGGAATAGCATCGTCCTTCAGTTTCAAATGCTGTGCATATCCGGCCTCAAACTGGGAAATGTTTTGGAAGCTTTCGTCTGTGAAATGCCGCGCACACGGTAACGTTCTTCGAACCTCTGAAAGAACAGTGTTAAAAAGAAATTTCAACCACTGACTTCGTCGTGGTTCTACCGTCGGTAGGACAAACAGCTCAGATTTCTCCTCACATTTCAGGAAACAGGTCCTTGGCATTGGCATGACTGGATCGATTGTGAACTGAACCAGAGCTTCCAACAGTAAATGTTAGGCTGGCAGAGGGTGCGGCCAGCGCCGCTGGGTGTGGCCATAGCTCTTCCGGATTGGTCCATTTTGTTCCGCATGATGTCATGCGGTACCCGGAAGAATCAAATGGACAGTGACGTATCTCCAACGAGGCGTTTTGGGGAGGTATTTTCTGTGTTAGAGTTTTACTCGCTACAGGGTGTACTTTGAGGGTTTTGACTCTGCACACTGTTTACATGCATAAAAACCTTCATAACACACAAGGGGATGGGTAATGACCGGAAAAGCATGACATGGGCCCTTTATCATGAAGTAACATTAAGTAACCCAAAATGTTAAACCGTAAGAGTAGTAGTCATATTTCGTGAACCCTTTGAATAGTACTGTCACCGGTGTGATCATTCTATAATACACAATTTAAGCCCGGGGGAGAAATGCTAACGCTAACGCTAGCATCGGCAATCTTCTCTACTTCATGCTATCTGCACAAATGGTTGACATAAACATTAAAAAGACCAGGCAGTTCAGAGAGAATCAAAGGAAGGCAGGCAGGCAGCTTTGCATGACATTCTTCAGGACGTGTTTCATTGTGGTGATAGTGAGGGTAGTCAATCGTTTTGTTGACAAGACAGTAGTGACGGCCATCTTGGTGACGTGTGTTGTTCTGTGAGACCAAAGATGTAGTTCATTGAGCGTTTCACACAAACAAATGTGTTACTTCACAGTTTTACGACACATTTTTTTTTTTTTTACTTGCAAAATTATCTTTTAAATTGACAAACATCATATGTGTAATTCGTGGCACAATTCAAACGGGATTGAAAGATAATCTTTCTCTCTCCATTGACTTCAATACATCATTTTTCCGAAATAAGGTCCCATGGAGGTCCACCGGAAGGGGAGGGACTTCGCCACTCTATGTTGGTGCTCCAACACATTGCACGTGATTGGATAAGGGGCGGGAAATCTCCAAGCGGTTAATCAATCATAACAGCGTCGGCCAGCTAACCAATCAGAGCAGACTGGGCTCTGGTTTCAGACAGAGGGTGAAAAGAGGTGCTGCAGCACAGGCAGTATGAGAAAAATAAACATTAAAGCATGTGAACATGTCATAGTAGAAGCGTAAAATGAGCATAATATGTCCTAAATAACAATGTAAAAAAATATTTCTTGTGATGTAGCTAGGTGGCTAACCAACAGATTTTAGTTTTGGTCTGTGACGTACAGTAAATCGGGAGACAGTGGCATTTTTGGGAGAGATCTCAATAAAAGGTTTCAAAATGAATATATAAAACAGTAATTACAACCTATGGAAGCCCATTTCCGCCTCCAACAAATAAATATGATGATGAAAATGTACCCTTATGATGAAAGAAAAACTATCCTGATCAGTTTAAGGACATAATATAAAAATAATAACCACTTTGTACTGCAAGATAATGATTTTGTATCTCAAGAAAAGGACATATTATTGCAAAATGATGACACGTAAAATGTATAATAACTTCCGATATGTAAACATGAATTGAACATTTTTCATTATTATGGAACATGAATGAATTGATTTTATGAGTCACTATAGTAGCAGGATCCAAAATTCTTGAACTGGGCCAACATAAATTAAAAAGTTCAAAATAAATTTAAAAAATAGCAAAATACACATAGAAATATAACAGATAACCCAACGATAAAGAGATATACATGTTTAATTTAACTGAGCATCACAACAGCTTTCAAACATTTGCATAGTTTATATTTTAAATTCTCTCACAATAATGATGTTTTGGATTAGATCGGCACAAATATTTTTCTTCCTTGCGAATTTTAAAGTAAAATATGACAATTCAGCATAGTTTTCAAGTTTGTAAAGTGCTAATGCTTTCACACAAAGACTGTCTCTACTTTAAAAATGTATTTAAACATCCTTCATTAAAGGACGTCCTACAAGTATAATGACGGAGAGACACTAAGGAGAATAAACACCATGTTTGTTATTACTGTGAATATTCTTGGCAGCCAGTTCAGACACAACTAACTAAAGTGAATCACTTCTACTCATCTATCACCAGTGCAATTAAGACAGTGTGGACCTGAAGACCAGCCTGTGATCTGAAATGTGTGAAATATAAAGTGCATCATGTGTTTCTACATGTCTCTGTGGAGGAATGTGCAACTACTGTTTTTGGACGCAGAGCTGCTCTGAGGACAGAAATAAATAATCAAATTGTCAATCCAATCACTAAATTAGTTGACGCCTGAATTGATTAGAATGTTAAGTAACCGAAGTGGAGAAATCAAATGTAACGCTCTTTGATAATCCACACAATCCAGTGTAAACAGTTTTTATGGGGACTACTTTCAACCAAAGAAATAGTCCCTATGAAAAGTGATGGCAGTGGCACTTTTTAACACGAGTTGAAACCTTTTAGACAAAATGATTTGGCCTATATATAAAGCAATCCTCAATATTTTCTTTATAAAATCTCAAATTATTTTAATATCACTTGTATATTTGAGCATGTCTTTATGTTTGATTGTATTCTGTGTTGGTAAAAGTGTGTTGCATTTATTTTTAGTGAAGCACTTTGAGCTGCATCTCTTGTATGACGTGCTCTAATGATAACATGTTATTATCTAATGTGTAACCTAACATAAACATAAAAAGCTGCATAACTGTTTTATTCTCCCCATTAAGGTTTAATTATAATAATAAAAGATTCTTTCTGTCTCAGGGGAGCTCTGACTCCAAAACGTGGGAGCTGAAACAGAACGACTCACTAAATGTGATTACTCTTTGTAAACAAGTCCAACATTTAAGAGAAATGTAATATGGTGTATTTGGGTCATTTAAGGTTACAAACAAATAACTTTCGAGCCGGGGGAGGGGGTAATATTTAGGGGGGAAAAACAGCCTTATTATTTATTTTAGTGCAACAAAAACATTTGTCCTAGTGCAAAAAACACATTTATTCTGGTGATATAAATGGTCTTATTTGAGTGCGAAATGACAGTGTAATTATTTATTTTAGTTGGGATTTTAAAACCGGGGTTGTTGGCTGGTGACTTTTCTTTGTTATTTGTTTTTTTCAGTATTGCCAAGATGTTGAACATTTTATTTATAATTTAAATCTCGGATAATTATCCTTTCCCGTAGATTAAAAAGTGTCTTTGGGGATATTGAAAAAGAAATTATTGTAAATGTGTTTTTTAATGTACACATGTATTCTCTGAGAATATCTGAGGGTTTTTTTTCAAGTGAAACTTCTGATTCTTTTACCATCATTTTACCATTTTGATTTCGGAGAATATTTTTTCATCTCGCAAATGTCTTTTGTAAATGTTTCACTGTAATCATAATTCAGAATGTATTTCACTGATTATATATCACCTCCCATGTACTACATTTAGTCAATGTTTGACCTGAAATGATCCAAAGCTACTCCTTAGATGTTGGACTGTTCCTTTAAAGCAGCTGCCTCCCTGTTAAATCCCCTGTGTAGTGTGTGAAGCAGATCTTTTATCTGGATCCTGGTGCTGGGGGTCAGAGGGGCCGGGGGGGTCAGAGGGGGCGGGGCTGATGCAGACCTGCTATCTCCGGGCTCAGAGCCGGGCTGTGTGTTGCCTTCGAGGGACTCCAGTTCCCCAGAGAAGCCTGCACGGCCTTACGGTGAGCCAGCCTGTGAGTGATGGAGAAACCAGCGTTTCCCTCCAGCTGAGACAAAACCACCAGCACCTGCCTGAGAGAGGAACACCTTCACATGCACAGGAATACATGTTCATACATCTTATACAGTATTTATCACAAGTTCAATGTGAGCACTTCATGTAGCTCAATAAAAGTTCATCTAAACTGAGGAACTATTCACATCTTTTCCTGAAACAATAATCATTTTATAATTAATAGAAATAACAATAATGTTTAACACTAATAAATAACGGTTGTTGTAGATATATTTATAGATTTGATTTAAATTAAATACATTAAAAAATGATAACAGAAGGTTCGGTAACTTTTTTCTTCACATGAGTTTACTGTAACGCAGCCTTAAAAAACAAAAACAGACAACACTAAAAAATCTACGACCATATCTAGCCTTATGTCACAATATCAGTATATCATACTCATAGACTCATACTGTATGGATATATTGCCCAGCCCTAATTGATGTAGGTTATAAAAGTTGAACTGGCTGGAGAATCTATTTAAATTACATGTAGACAGCGTAGGAACTTAATAGTATATCTACTCAATTACTTTTCACGATCTTTTCAACATCTTTGCCTAAAAACTTAAAGGTAAATAATAATAATATTTAATAATGATACATAACAATCACAGTAGTTATATATTTGATTAATGGTATACTAATACAAGTACACCAATTGGGTTTGGTTCAGGGAATCGTAAATAAAGTATATATATACATTTATTTTATTTGTAAAATATTTTGTAACTCAATTGAATGAGATTTAACTTGTTTGGCAGGGGAGATGGGGAGATGGAGAAACTCTACCAACTGACTTTTTTAAGTTTCTATTAAGATTTATGAGTAATGATTCAAACATCACAGGAAGGCTCTTTTTCTTGAATCAATGTTTTGTCTGACCTAGCATTAGAGCAAACAGACAATAATAATAATGTTTTTGAGATGTGTTATCCTGTCATCTGTCCTGTCAGTTTGACAATAGATGTAGTTTGTAACCTGTGCAGAGGCGGGATGCTGTCGATGGTTTTGAGGCTGCTGCGCGTCGACACCACGTTGAAGCTGTCGCTGCAGTCACATGACACGTGGAGGTGATGTCTCGGGTGTCTGTTCTCCACCATGACGATAAGCCCCGCCCACCCGTGGGTCAGGTAGTAACAGGTCATCCCCTCTCGACCCTGGGGGAGAAAGTATTTGGTAAAAGTACATGAAGCTCACCTTATAACAAATACTCACAGAAAAACTCCTGTGCATTCGAACCCTTACTATTGACAATGAAGTACAATGTACTTAAAGTTCTTAAAGTCAAAGTATTCATTGTGCAGTTTACTGTCCCTTCATTGTTTAAATACATCATGTTTCTGGAGTAACATTACTGCTGCGTTACTGCTGCTGGAGATTTGTTAACCCCTTTACATTCTGCAGGCCAGTTTCATCTGCAGCAATGCATCGTATTCTATCAAATCACAATATGTTTGTATCCTTTTCCTGTGAGGACCATGTATCTCTAAAAAGTCAACTTTTCAGTTTCAGGAGAATCTTCTTAACAAAATCGGTTTTCAATGGAAAGCAAAGTAAGAAATACCTTGAAATTGTTTTTAATAACAATAATCAGTTTTAGGTCAAAAATATTTGATTTGTCAACATTCTCTTGTACTAGAAGTAGTGCTTTACCTTTTTGTACAATTGTACTATCAGTTAATCAAAAAGCATTAAAACATTTCCTCCAGATGGCAAAGTAAACTGTTGTTGTAAATCGGTTAATCACCTTATCGTTTCTGTAAAGTAACAATAGTGCAATGCATTTTCCAGCATTGGAAAGCAGTTTATTGTGTGTGTTAGGTATGTACAATAAATCTGAGTTGGTCACACTGATTTGACAAACTGACCTCGTGTCTCTCTCCTTTAGTTTCGGTGAGCTGGATGATGGCGTCGGCGATGGTGTTGCTGGAGGCCGTTACCTGCTCCACCATCACCAGCCTGGAGCTGTAGACCGCCAGCATGTAGCCCGGCTCCTCAGAGGCTGGGAACACACAACATTAATACATTTAAATAAGGAGCTGCAAAACCATCATTCTTATTGACATTTAACCTGGCTTTGGTGGCCTAGACTCTGTCTTTTTAACACAAGTTCCTCTTCCACATTATTTATATATTAGGGACATTCAGATCAGAGTCCTGCATCGGGTCGGGTACCCAACGGGTGACCCGCAAAAAAAGTGATTCGCGGGTGGTATTTTTTCAAGCGCTTTTTTCCGGGTTCGGTTCTGGGTAAAACAAAGATGATGCGGGTCGGGTCGCGGGTGTTGCATAATAAATATATTAAAATAATAATAATTTAGTTTAATGTTTAAATCCTCAGACCTCTCCCCCGCGGGACCGCGCATAATCATAACCTCTGCAGCGCATCAATCTGCTGCTGAGCGTGCCACATTCGAAATGGCTAAGGTGATCTCTCTAGCGGAGAATACAGCATTTTCAATAACACTTCCTCAAGAGCGAGATCCAACATCTGGGAGGCTTTTGGTGTCATCCTAGATGGAGAAAAGAACCAACATCCCACGCTTTTTGAGACAAATATGCAACTGCGTGTGTTAATAATTGCACGTTTTCACTGCTCATATATATGCGGGATCGGGTCGGGTTGCAGATCTTGTGCCGACGGGTCTGGTCGGGTGGCGGAACTAATTGGCAATATGTGCGGGTAGCGGGGCGGGTTCGGTATTGCACGTCGCGGGTGCGGGGCGGGAGCGGGTCTTGAAAATCAGACCCGTGCAGGACTCTGATTCAGATAGCCCGCTAGTCTGTTTTAACTGAGAAATATAACGGTTGAAAATCTGCCATTTTCTTGAAAAGAAAACCTCCTGATGTTGCACCCTTACTGTTCCCCTCTGGGGGGCTGCTGTGCCAGTGGTTGAAGGCGCAGCAGAGCACGGCGTACTCTCCCGGCTCCAGCATCACGTCGCAGCCCACAAACCTCCTCACAGAGCGGCGGCTGTGAGCCAGCAGGCGGCCGAGCGTGGGCGACCCCGTGCTGTCGTAGGAAACTCGGTACAACAACACACACAGATCCAGCAGGTGGCTCTCCGCTGTGTCCCACCGCCTGAGGACACAGGAGCAGAGACGGGTTCAGATAAAACAAGGAGCAGTCTGCAGTCATTAAAACATTTTTGCCTCAAAGAGCAATCATGAGAAATAAACCCAAACCAAGGAGCTGGAAGAGAAGGTAATAAAAGTCATACAACTAAAGAAAGAGTGGTTTGTTTTCTGTAAAAGGGAAAGAGAAAAAAAACCTCTTAGCTTATATTGTAAAGCAATCACATACTATTCCTTGTTGTTCCCAGTAAATGTAACACCTTGATCTCAGTGAATATCCAGGTCTTTCTTTCTTTCTGTCTTTTCTTTCTAATACATTTCAAATACATATCCCCCTTCCCCTGCCGTCATTGCTTTATGGTTGACATACTGCATGGAACTGACTCATTACAAGGATTACATGTTAAGATAAATATGATTGTTTGCTTGTCTGAATTCAATCAAAACATTTGTTGTATTTGTTTAAGAAGGAGAGAAAGGACGCTTAACGCTGTGGTAATACAACTTTATTCTCACTATGAAGAAATGTTGCTGCTTTCAACGATTTCATGATTTTATTTTTTACGAGGGCAAGGGATGAGGTTTTCAGAATTGTATTCAAGTATTTCAAAATGTTTAACTGCAACTATTCACTGCAAACAGTAATTGTAGGTTTAAAAAAATGAAATCATTTTGTTTGTGTTATTATTGACTCTATTGTCTATTGCCTGACTTTAGGTGATGTTAGGTGACCTTGGTAGTATTCACCATCACCCTTGGCTCCATAGATATTTTATCATAGATTTAGTTTTACCTGAAATGGTCTTAATACCCTGAAATAAAAATGTGATGGGTTTGTTAAATGTGCATTAAAGAATGATTTTTTTATCAACTTGCTTAATGCTTTTTTTATTCTCCACCGACATTAGAAACTTGTAGAGCCCAATCTGGCGTACTATAGTTCTTATTGTCTGAACGTACTATCTCTAACTGACTGAGGGCTATTAGAAGGGTCTCAGGTGAGTAGAGCTGTAGTCCTACCTGCTGCCCTGCTGGAACAGAGCCAGCTCCATGGCGGTCCTCTCCAGCACCGTGATGGACACCAGCGTCAGCGGGACGTTGGCTCCTCGGGGGAAAACACCCGGCGTTCTCACCTCCTGCCAGTCTGAATGAATCTTACAGATATCCACTGAGTCAAAGTACCTGCCGGGGTCAGACAAACACATAGACACACACAGACACGTGTAACGCAAAAACACATTTCCCTTATTTTGGGGGGAACTAAAAAAGCTATGGGGAAACTATGGAAAGCCTGAGAAGCAGTTGGGGAGGAAGGACATGTGGGGTTCCCCTTACTAAAAGTTGTCTCTCCTGTGTTTAACGTGGGGGAAAAAGGTTGTACGACAAATAGTTCTGGTGAATGATTATCATTGGCTGAGCCGCTTCGTAACTTATACTCATATTACTTCAATTTGACAGCATAATCTTTTTAAATTACCCCTCTTTCATTGGTAAAGGAAGGTGGAACAAAATGTGTCAGGATATTGTTTTTAATGTCATTTCCCCCTTTTTGAAGGATCTTTTTTTTACCTCTTTCTTGAGTCATAACTTTTGTAATTGGATCCCAAGAATATCCTTTTTTTCCCCCACCTCTCAGGGCTTCCTTAGCAATCACAGTTTTTAACATAGTTTGATCTGAAAATGTAAAATGGATGGACAGAACTTAAAGGTCCCATGTCATGCTGTTCCAGTTATTACCCGTCCCCTTGTGTGTTATGAAGGTTTTTCTGCATGTAAACGGTCTGCAGAGTCACAAACCCTCAAAGTACACCCTGTAGCGAGTAAAACTCTAACACAGAAAAGACCTGTCTATGCTGCCCCAGAACGCCTCGATGGAGATTTCTCTTTTTCCATTTGTTTCTTCCGGGAACCGCATGACGTCATGCGGTTCCCGGAACCAAAATGGACCAATCCGCGGAGCTCCTCACACACCAGGACCTTTAGCGTAAATGTTCAACTAACAGGGAGTCCCATTGACTTGCATAGAGCTCCCTGGTTGGTAATAGACGAGTTGGGATGGCGGAGAAATTCTCTCTGCAGACCCATGCTCACAGCGTTTATAAACCTTTTTCTTACTCAATATCAAGCCACACTTATTGTTTTTACTTCGGCTGTGAGTGTTTGTGTGTGCTCAGGATGAGTTTCACTTGTTCTCGCTGTATCGCCGACCCGGAAACCACACCAGTAAGCCAGCTCACTGAGCAGCGACCCTCGCAACGTCCCGACCAATCAGAGCACACTGGGCTCACAGGGAGGGGGGGGGCAGGAGCTCCAACAAGCCGTTTAGGACAGAGAGTGAATACACATACTATACAGAGATGCTGTATGAGAAACCAATGTGAGTTTGGAAAATTGCACAATATAAATATATTCTAGTAGACCTCAACAATGGAATTATGATCAGTAGAAATGGCCATGACATGGGACCTTTAAAAGATCACAAAGCAATAGCAGCGTTCTTTACTTCTGATTAGGGCTCAAAATAATGAATTGCAATTGTTTTAAATGTTATTGTAACTCATTTACAGTATGATTCACGATATTTGGGGGAATGATAATTTCTGCATTAGTATTTTAATTTCCATTAGAATATTTATATACTTCGTGCAATTTTGATTATTTGGGTATTGAACTGGTCCATATTGAAGTTCTTAACATTTTGATGAATTGTGCGGCTCTGTTCTGGATCTACCTGATGAAATCCCAGAAGTCCATCCAGAAGAGGCCGTCCTCAGCTCTCTGGGCACAAAGCTCCCTCTTCAGGTTGGGAGGCCAGCTGGGCCAGTCATCGGCCCAGGATCCCGTCCAGGAGAAGCGGCCCCACGGGTTCCTCAGCTGCACTAACCTGGAAAAAAACAACAGATGTTAAAACACTACTAAAACAATTACATCTCAAAATAAAGCATAAAGAAGTACAGTGCAACCACAAGCTAAAATCATATGCAAACTGTGACTCCAGTCACAAGCTTCTTTTTTTATGGAAATTTGGGAAGAGAGCACTGGTTTTTTTCAAATACCAGAGTTTGGTAACATCTATCAGGAGAGAAAAGTCAGTTTGTTGCATCTTTTTTGTTATTGATAATAAGCAGAACTATTTAAATTGAATAAAAGTTTAAATCAAACAAAGGTACACTAACTGGAGTATCATTTTACTTACTTGAAAACACTGTCTCCTCACCTGTGAGCGTCTACATCCCTCACGTCTAGCACAGAGTAAGCGTGTCTTGGACGTAAACCCAGGGACTCGTACTCCAAGTCATCCACCTTCATGTTACCACCCCCACAGGACGCCCCCATCAGGAAACTAGCAGCACAACAAACAGTTAAGATGCATCTTTAAGGGGGGAAACTACAAATGAATAGGGCACAAATGCATATCATTAAATGTTATATTTAAATATGTTCAAACAAGCCTAAAAGAAGACATGTTATAGAAGCAAAATATTGGATCAGTGCATGAAAAAACTAGTGTAGTGTCTTGTCTTTTCAGAGTCTTTCCCCGACGCTCACCCTGCCTCTTTGGAGCTCAGCATTTTGGCCCAGATGAGGTCTGTGTCGATGGACTCCTCCTTGGGGTTGGTGGTGCTGACCTGCAGAGCCAGAGACTCGCAGGGGGCTCCGGTGAGCGTGGACAGACCCTCGATAGCACGACCTGCCTGCAGAGCAAAGTAGGAGCCGTGCAGCTTGGCCAGAGCTTTTTCAATCAGAGCCACCCAGAGCTGCTTCCGCTGGGCCTGGGGAGGGAGAAGGTTAATTATCTTCTGCACTGCAGCTTGAAAAGCACATCAGGGGACCAGCATCTGCATTAAGAGATAAAAGGCAGTGTTACCCGGAGGAATTATTGATGTAACTCGTAAAAAAAATATATATATATATATATAAGTACTGAGAAATAAACTTTACATTTAAGGTTGAAAACATGTCTCTTGATAGTAGTAGTAGTATAACCTTTATTTAGCCAGGAAAATAAATTAAGAACAAATTCTTATTTTCAATGATGACAGGAGGCAAAAGGCGTCCTGAGGGGATGGGGGTTGGGAGGAAGAAAATAAAAAGACAGATTCCGAGCACTACAGAACCCAGGAGACAACACGATGACACAGAGCAGAGATGACAGGCATAGCAGTTCAACATATAACATATTTAAAATAATGCTGCTGGAGTTCAATCAGTCATTAAAATAATATAGAACATTCATCCATTCATCCCTTCATGGCAATGCATACTATAGGAGAGGTCATTGATCATGTTGAGTTGAAGTGTTCTGTTTCTGAAGGTTGTGATGTTATAATTGTATGAGGTTGTTTATCTTTCATTTACATTTTCACAGCTGGGTACTTTCAAAGGGTTATATTATTATAGAATATTATATTATCCGGTTTGAAATCACTAATGACTAAGAGCATTTTAATGTTGTAGTTTGTTAATATGGATCCAATTTTAGATATTTTATATTCTTCTGGGGAGATAAGTAGTACAGTACTGCATTATATCATATGATTTACATTTAAAATAAATGTAGTGCAGTAAAAAGTACAATATGTACATGTGTGAATATTTTGTGTGTATGCAAAAATGTTTAAAATGCACGCTCGTAAGTTGTCACAGCAATTGTGAATTTTCTCTTGTTCACTTGCTAAAATAACCCGTGTTATGGACTCACGGGGGACTCAAACATATCATGAATAACCTATTTGTTTGTTCTTGATGAATGAAAAGTCAAATGAGTATTTGGTCAAAAGTTTTTCACCTGAGAGAAGAGGAGGTGTCCGTTCTCGTCACACGGCAGCATGTCGTCCACCAGCACGGTGGTCCACGAGCCGTCTTTGCACAGACGCACCTGATAGGCTCCTTCTGCACACAGCGCGCGCGTCACCATCACCTTCTCCACCAGCTCGGGACGTTCAGCCAGAACAGCCAAGGCACTCAGGAACCTGTTCTCCAAAACATGCAGACACACCGTATAACTGACCGGAAGTTTAAGGTGAGACATTACAAGTAAATCTTTCTTTTCTACTATTTTGGGTTATTTAGTTTCACTAACATGTCTTTTTTTCAGACTAATTGAAAGGAAACATCCAACATTTCTACACCAGGCTCCGTATAAAAAACGACCATTGCTCAAATTCAACTTTGAGGAGAGAAAAGTACGACGGGCTAGCAGAGTGAATTAATGATGTATTGTTTATTTTTGCTTACAATTTCATAAAGAGAGATTCAAAACAAGAAACACATATGGCCTTGTGCATGCTACATTAACCGTGGGCTCACCAGCAGTTACCCAGAAGTCCTTGCAGGATGTCGGACGGACGAAGCGTTCGAAAGACAGACCACTTCACTGTGCGGTCTCTCGAGTTGCAGCAGTTGATTTCGTGAGGACGAAGCCACTTTCTGACCCGATGCTGGACGCTGTCGTCTACTGGGAAGCCCACCGACTTCGGACCGGGGGGGAAGCTGTCGTCCACAAACGTCACGGCATTCTGGGCGAATCAAATCACAGAAACAAATACACCTCAACTTTGTTGTAGAAACAGAAATGTAATAGACCTAATGGTCCACTTTCAGATTCACTTGTAAACTGATTTTTGCTTAATTTCGTTTGGCTGCCATTGTTTTGGGGAGTGTGTGGGAGAGAAACTCCCTCTGCAAGGAACTTGGGATTGTAGCCTTGTCAGACCATTTACATGCACAAAAACCTATAGAACACACTATAGGAGAGGGAAACCGCCAAAAGCATAATAGGACCCCTTTAATGTTTTTGTTTTGTTGCAGCTGGTAAAAATGTAGCTTGTTTTAATTACCTTTATACCGCTGGCTATTTTATTCAATCAAAAATCTTCATCATATACAGATGGAGCCTCTTATTTTGGACCCCAGCATACAGCTTCCTGCCGACTGCCAGCCAGTTGCCAGCCAGTTGCCTGCCAAAGACCAGTATTCAGGAATGTTAGGCCCTCCCACTATTCTCCAATTTCAGGGTTTAACCAGGAGATGGCGCTATATATTAAATAACTAAGACTTAGTTTTTCACAATAGAAAATGCAGATATTATATAAAAAACTAAAGTTAAAATCTTGTTTTTAATGCCCCAAGAGCAATAACATCTTGTCACAAGCTTTTTGGAAGAAAAAGACTGACTCAAGAGACCTGTAGTTGACTAATTACAGGCCTCAATAAAGTTCTGCCATTGGTTGTGAAAAACAACGGTGGACATAGTGGAAAGTGAAATTGACATTGTCGAATTTAATAAAAATACAAAATAATGTATCTGTGTACGTGTTTTACTATGTGATCTGCACTTATCAAACATCTAATTAAGGCGAGACACCCCAGGTGAATAGGGTATTTTTAACTTAAAGATATCAGCTAAATATTTCTCCAGTTAATTACTTACAATAAGGCAATTGTTTTTTGTATTACAAGTTTTCTGAAATAGCATGTTTAAATATCCAAATGAACCATTATCTCATGAAATATGCGCATATTTTAACACATTTCAGGAACCGAAATCTGAACTTTGGATAAAGCCAGGATCAAAATTATTGTTTCATTTTGTAGTCATATTAGTATCTAAGGCTTTTACAGAAGGGATTTTGGATATCTCTTTGTATCACTCCATAAATCAGAAAATACTGTCAACAGCCCTAAAATATCAATTTTCACCATGTTTTTAGCTATAAAATGTTATATAATTCAGGCTATGAATTATATATGACCAAACCCTTCTGTAAAAGCCTTCATAATATTGATAGGAATATAACTGGAAGGTTTGGTGTATGTAACTGCTGAGTGATTCTACAATTTAGGGTACATTCCATGTCCATTGATGTCCATTGATGATAATTATAATTATTCTAACTATTTTCTTCAAAAATATCATATTTTGCCTATTATTGGAAAGCATGTTATAATATCACACAAACATTATGTGCATCCTATGCTTTATTTAGCTTGAAATGTGTCATGATGTTCTTAAATTGTCAGTTTTTGCTATGTCCGTTTTTCAGTTGAGGGTGTCTTGGATTCAAAATAATGAATAAAAACCATTAAAGTAAATTTAAAAAATGATTCATTTATTTCAAAAGTCTAAATACTAAAGAATAATAACATATTTTTAATTGATTTCCCCCTTTAAATAATTTAAATATCTTAATATATGAATGTCCGCAAAAGTTCTGTCAACTATGTTACTAACAGAACTTCCCCCTTTAACTCAAAAATTGTTTGTCCCAATACCATGTCACCAGCATCACATGATGCCATGTTCCTCTTTGGCAGACATTTTGAACACACTGTGGTGATTGTCCTCTACATTTTTACAATATTTTATGTATAATAGCACATGGTCAATTAATATACTCATTGACAATCAACAATGTTACGTACATTGTTATGGTTTACAATTGTTTAATGATTTTAATTCAATTATATGTGCAAATGTGATGTTAACCTGTTCAAGAAAATGACATGTGGTCATCCAGGCAAGGCCTACCATTGAAATGATGGGTCAAAATAGGGAAATTGTCAACTAGGTTACCTGTCAACTGAGTTACCCAGTACTGTAATAACTGTAGTAACTTAGTTGACAGGTAACCTAGTTGACAATTTGTACGACATGTAGACGTCATTACACATCATTATCAATGGAATTTTGCACTTCTGCCTTGAAATTAACATAGTGCTGATGGTTAATAATGTGTCCAGTCAACTATGTTATTTGCGTCAAATGTTTGACTTTCATTGTCAACTATGTTGCACCTCATTTTTTCAAATTTAAAATATCTAAAATAGTGCTTCTGATATCCTTTATAGTATAATGTATATCTACACAGGTTGGAGTTTTACATGACATCTCTTAAAACTATCAAAATGACCTGTATGGTAGTTTTATAATACAAAATATCCCTAAACTTAATGACAGTGCTGAACATATCACATGAAAAAACAAAACTTTAATACAATTATTTTTTAAACTTTAAAAAATCTTTGGATATATGGTAGAATAGACTCAAGAGCCTTTCAAATTTGATTTTACTTGAAGTGCAGGACTTAATCAAATGATTGTAATGACATCAAGTTTGTCCGTAACATAGTTGACAAACTGAGTAGTGAAAACATCCTTTCCCTTAAAATAAAAAAATATATAAAAATGTTTAAGCTTTGCAACTAGTGGATATGTTACACTGAGGAATATACTAACTTGAACCACTGATTGTTCTATCTATACATTTTATTTGGCATTAGTAAATAATTATGCACATTTACAGATATTTTACATGATATGAGTGATAACACGTGTTATAAGGGCTATTTCGCACAATAGGTGTGCCTTGAGATTTTTACTTGTCCTTTGGTGTGCCTTGGGCACAAAAAGTTTGGGAACCACTGCTGTAGAGAAATGTAAACGTTCACCATCCCCCACCCGCCTACTGTATGTTGCTTTTTGACATGTAAATGGGTAACTACCCCCCTCTGAGTGAATACCTGTTGTACCTGTCCGGGGCTAAGCCCATAGGACGATGCTCTGATGTCATCACCCTCGCACATTGGTCATATGTTTACAAAAAACGATGTTAACACTTTCTCGTTCTTAATATATGCTATATTTAGGGTCGATATGTGTTGAATTTACTTTAAAATAGCAGATCACTGTGATTCACTTCTCCGCGGCTCCTCCGTGCAGAGAGGCGTTGACAATTCACGAGCGTCTAACTCTCTCCCCCCTGTGAAGAGATATCACAGGGGGGGTTGGGACACACACATTCCGATGGCCAATTCGTTTTAAACAAAGAGTGGGGTGGGGGCTGGTGAACGGTATGGTCAATGTTTGTAAACACTGTGACATTTTGACTTTATTTGATCATTTCAGTTAAAAACTAACGTTCATATTTCATATTACTGTTTTGCCTGGCTGGACCTGTAATTTACAGGAAAGGAGTGCACGCTACTAAAGAGACACGCTACCATGGAAACCAAACAATGGTGTTGCTGTATTGAAGTCCGAGTGGAAACAGTCATATTTGGAGCGTTATGTTAGAATGAAACAGCGAGGTCGTGACTCACAAAAAAAAAGTGTTACTTCACTAACTGTAAGCTTGTCACTCAGAGTAACCTACAGTTAACTTAACTGTTGGAAAAGAAAGATCAGAGTTAGGAGTGTGAACACACAGCTGAGAGCTGCCGTTTCATTCTGACTGTTTAAAAAACGGTAACAACGGACTATTTTTCTTAGCGGATGCATGTAAATTTAAATCAATACATAGAACTATGTTTTAAATCAATAAAAATATTTTCTAAATCCATAAAAGCATTTTAATTAATATTGGGAGTCATGTCGTTACTTTGTTGAGAATGTGGCCATGTAATAAGCGGGATAATTTGCAGCGACTTGGTCATTATGGGGAAAAATAACACCCAGGGATCAAGATCCCTCCGCGACGCGGAGGGATCAGTAATTTTTAGTGAATTACTGAGTTTAGGCACGTTAATAACATTTTAATGAAGTTGAATACAGTATATTCATATTTGTCAGTGATTTCATGTCAATTCGGCGAACATAAACGATTAAATTAGGATTAAAAATCGAGAGCCGGCTGCTGTTCGTTACGGTAACCCAGCTAGGACACTTGACACAGTGGCTTTTGGCAAAGCACACAAAGAAAACAAAAAAAACCGAGAGAGATGAATTATTGTTATTACAACGTGACTTCACTATTATTTAACAACTATTTTTATTGGGTTCTTTTATTTGGGGTTAAGTACATTGTCAGAATAAGTGAGAAATGGATTTAACTTCTGTTAGACAGCTATCATACTGAATAAATATTTATGCAAAAATGTATGGCATTAATAATGTATATCTAATTACATTTAAAAATGTATGGCATTAATAATGTATATCTAATTACATTAACTGTGAATGTCTTTCATTTTATTTAAAATGAAATAAAATTACATAAAACATTTTCCATAAAAAAGTTGATTCAAGAACAAATCAGTACTTTTCTTATATGACTATTATTGCTAAATTTGAAAGGTCTTTACCAGCTTTGGAATTATATATATATATATATATATATATATATATAGCACCTTCTGCCATCCCATCTCTACTGACATATGGATCTTAACAAAGATCCGCTATACATTAGTACCAGATATACTGTACACGGACATTTTAGTGAACCAGACCAGCTGTTTCCGCCGGGTCTTCGCTTCCCGGGCATCACGTTGTTTACAAGTGTGTTCAGATGCTAAATGACAAGTGCAAGTGACAATTGTTGTCGTCTTCTCTGTGAACGTTTTTTTCTCCGTTATTTTGCCATTTTCAGATTTAAATTTCGAGCGGAAAGCTAACCAGGAAGTAATAATTACTTAAGCGGAGAACGGAGAAAGTAAACGTTACAGCAGGCATAACAACAGCCGGTGTTTATTTTATTATAATATTCAAGAACAAATCAGTACTTTTCTTATATGACTATTATTGCTAAATTTGAAAGGTCTTTACCAGCTTTGGAATTATATATATATATATAGCACCTTCTGCCATCCCATCTCTATATATAATATCTATCCGTGACATATGGATCTTAACAAAGATCCGCTATACATTAGTACCAGATATACTGTACACGGACATTTTAGTGAACCAGACCAGCTGTTTCCGCCGGGTCTTCGCTTCCCGGGCATCACGTTGTTTACAAGTGTGTTCAGATCGTTCAGATGCTAAATAAAAGTTTAGCTTGTACTTTTGATACCCCGCCTCTCGGCACCACAACATCCAGTTTACTGTATTTCACATGAGCGATGTCGAACATTGAAAAGTCCTTATAAAATCTCTGTTATTAGATCAGTACTTTTCTTATATGACTATTATTGACTTGAACACTGAGAATGTATTTATTAACTTCAGACATTTGAAATATTTGAAATCAGATGAAAACAAACTGTAACGGACCCTGCCGTGTTATCTATGATTACTATGCCTTACTGTACATTCATAATTTCAGCCGGAGGTGGTAGGCGTTGCGGAGGAGCAGATTGCGAGTGAGGTGCCTGTTCTAAACGAACTATTCCAGCTGTTATAAAGCATTAAATAAAAAGTAAGCAAGGAATACAGAATGTTTCGTTACGTAACTTTGTTGAGAATGTGGCCATGTACATGTAATACATGGGATCATTTGCAGCGACTTGGTCATTGTGGGGAAAAATAACACCCATCCTGATCGTTTCAATGAAGTTGAATACAGAATATTCATATTTGTCAGTGATTTCATGTCAATTCGGTGAACATAAACATCAATGATGATGATTAAATTAGGATTAAAAATCGGGAGAGCCGGCTCGTTCGTTTTTTCCGACTAAACAACATCTATTATTTAGAAGTTGATTTCACATGACTCCAGTGTGGAACCCCACTGCACCCCCTGGTGGATCAATGATCCATTGCAGCTGGCTTCACAATAATTAAATGTATTTATCATGGGGGCGGTATCAAGTCTGACTGGGGGCCGGCCGGCCATCACGGAACGTGCATGAACCGATCACGACCCTCGCACTTTAAACCGTCCAAAATAAGACGCTTCATCTGTATGGGTTGACTTTATTTTGTGTTATTGAGTCTGCAAAGAACTGGTAAGTAATATTGTCAGATATATGTAGTTGATAGAAAAGTACATATTTATACCTGAGATGCAGTGGAGTAGAAGTATAAAGCAGCATAATATGGAAATACTCAAGTAAAAGAAGTTTGTACTTAAGTAAAGTACTCGAGTGGACAGACCTCAGTGCAGAAGCTGACGATGTTCTCCCACAGCTCCTTGGCCTCTCCTTCATCGCTCTGCCGCAGCTCCTCCACCAGCATGCTCTCCTTCCTCCCCGGGGACGGAGCAGGCTTCAGCTGCCGGCCCTGTTGCTGAGGAGTGTGGCAGGCCAGGCAGTGTTTGGCTTTGCCCACATTAATGAGCGTGCAGGCTGGACACGCCCACTCCTCCGTCCTGTTGACACTCTGGTGGAAAGATGCAGGGCCGTCCGGGGCAGGGGACAGCGGGGACATCTCCTCCTTCAGGATGCTGAGCCGCCTGCCGGGCTGCTGCTCTGGCTGGGTGGACAGATGTGAAATAGCGAGCGTGGACGGAGAAGGACTTAAGTTGTGAGTTTGATTGAGGCAGCCTTCTGGAGGTGGCACCTCTCTGCGGCTGCAGGGGAGGGGGTTATTATGAGAGGAAGACCCTGCGCTGAGCATCGAGGAGGAGTTTGTGTGTGGAGATGAAGCTTCTACGGGTAAACTCTCTCCTCCGGTGGATATGGAAAGAGAAAACGCGCCGGCTGCAGGCTCTGCTTGTTGCACAGTTTGATCGTCAGGCAGGAGCAGGGCGTCTGCAGGGATCTGGGGGAGAGACAGTTTGCGAGGCCCGCCACATGCGGAGCAGGACATGGAGGTAGGGGTGTTCTGCAGAGTGCACCTCGAACACTCCCAATGCAGGCTGCTTTTAGCTGCATCTTTTGTGTTTTGCTCAGAGTACGACGTCCTCAGGGGTCCGGAGCAGCTGCTGGAGCGCTGGGGCCGGGGCTGCTCCTCAGAGGAACGCCGGGGTCGCTCCGGTGCTCCACTGTAGAGACACAGAGAGCAGGACAGGCTGTCGGGGGGGTTGGCGAGTGTGCAGCGTGGGCAGGACCAGCGACCATCCTCCCTGCTGCCCCCTGGCTGCCACGTCCAGCGCCGGGGGGCTTCACAGATGGAGCAGCGGTGGGCGCCGGCTGCGTTTAGAAAAGTGCAACAACCACAAGCCCACTGGCTCCTCTGCATGGGCATCGAACCTGAAGAGAAACTGCAGAGAAAACACAAAACAGAGTCATAATAAATAAAACATTAACATTCCTCCGTTTTTTCTGTTCTTTTAAAGGGGACCTATCATGCAAAATGCACTTTTGTACGTCTTTTATACATGAATATGTGTCCCCGGTGTTCCAGGGAACTCACCAAGTGTCAGAAAACACAACCCTCTCTATTTTCCTCCATACCCAAATCTCTAAAAAAGGGGCTGCAACGGATCTGATAAAAACTGATCCAGATTTGAACACTGTCCTGACGTCAGGACGGTGGCGCTACGGCTATTGGGCCAACTCCACCAATCAGGAGGAGACAGCCACGGCCATTGCCGTTCGAAAGCGCTGCAGACGCTGTAGTACATATGCCAGGCCTGTAGATGGTGCTGTTGCTCACAGAATCAACCCTTGCAAAAACAGAGCTAACATTTTTCAAAATGAGCGAAATGAGGCATGGCTAAAATGCATGATCTGTTTGGTATTTTGAAAAAAAAAAAAGTATAAATATGCCTTATATAGGTATGGTCCTACACTATATTATTCAAATATAGCATGATAGGTCCACTTTAAATTAAAACACATATATATAAATATAAATATATATGTAAAGGGTATTTAAATATAAAAAGATGAAAATGTATTTACATTTCAGAAAAAAATCTAAAAGAGAGAGATCAAACTTAATTTTAATTTCATATATTTTGATTTGGCTTTAACACATTTCTTTATACCCATGTTATAGAGATGGTTATGTAAAGTTGCTTTTTTTATCTTGCTTTTGTTTGGATATCTGTTGTATTGTAAAAGGGCTATATAAACAATAGGAACTATATTTGTATGCATATAATCAATATCCTAACTTATTTACTTCAATTAGTTGATAGATCTCGCACGATTACGCGCACTATTCTTTTATATCTGTAGGAGCCAAAATGCTTGTTGGTTATTGTTGATTGTTTGTACTTTGATCATTATTTGTTTACACCATACACCATTGTAATTAGTCACTTCCTGCGATTGTCACCTGGGTGTGGTTTAAGGTATTAGGTCCACCTGTTGGGTGCTGTTTGTTGACCATATGGTCTTGCTGCAAATGTTTGTTTATTTGGGTTATTAAATTGGATGGAACAAGATCTTCAGTACAGACTGTTCATTGGGAACGAGTCACAAATATGAACCAAACGTAGCCGCGACTTAATTCACTGGGAGTTTTGTCGCTACAATACCATTGTCCTCACTTATATATTGTTGAGAGCTTTTCTAAACCTTGTCTCTCTAAATTCTTCTTTTTTTTTTACTTCATTCAAATTGTTCTTTAGTTTTTACTTTGTCTGTGCTGCAATATCTTATGAATTTACCCTCTGGCATAAACAAAGTCTCATCTTATTTTATATTGATAAAGAAGTGTCTTGAACTCATGTAACTGTAAAATCCTGAGGGGAGAGAAGAAAGGAAAAGCCGGGAAGACGACGGGAAGAAATCCAAATATGAATGTGTGCATTAACATATTTCTGTACCCTGTGGTGGCTCGGAGGAGAAAATGTAATTTCATGAATATGGAAATAATACAAGAAGCTGCACTACAACACTAACTTTTCCTCTCAGATCATATAAAATGATTCCTTCAGTGTTTTATTACAGCCTTTTCACCATCGCTAAGATCAGTTTACAGCATGTTCAGCTCTTTGTAAAACACTGGATTTGGTGCAAACACATCTAAGATTTATGTTGCACATTGTGCTCAGGCTGTGAAACAGACCCAGATTATCTTTGCATCCAGGGGGAGATTTAGACTGGAGGGACATCTGTGTGCACGCTGTCCCACATTTTCTTGCCGCGTTCTAAGTAGCATTGGCGTGAAACCGGAGACTTGCAGCTTACTGCAGAGCAAACTGTGAGGTGCAGGTGTTCCTGATGCAGAGCTCAGCCAGTTCTCCTGGCAATGAATGAAGCAGAGAAAGAGTTGCCATTGAATGAAAGGTTTTTTACAAACTAGCTTCAGTATTTCTTATTTCATAGTTTCATAGTGTCTCAGGGGGCTTTACAGTGTGTACAGCATACGACACCCTCTGTCCTTAGACTCTAGCAACGTACAAAGAAAAACTCCCAGAAACCCCACAAGTATTGGGGAATAAATATAAGAAACCTCAGGGAGAGAAACAGAGGAAGGATCCCTCTCCCGGGATGGACAGAAGTGCAATACTGTAGGTGACATGATCCAGATGCAATCTTTAATACTGGCAAGAAACAAAAGAGGAGAGAAACAAAAACTCAAGGTACGAAGCTTTGGATGCTGAGTTAGTAAACATGCATTGTTGGGACATGAATGCATACAGATAAGTATAAGAAGAGAGGTACAAGTCGAATGTCCCCCAACAATCTAAACATATAGCAGCCTAACTACGATAACTATGAGCTTTATCAAAAAGGAAAGCATAAAGGGGCCCTATTGTGCTCATTTTTAGGTTCATATTTATATTCTGTTCCTCTACTGTGACATGTCTCCATGCTTTAATGTTCAAAAAGCTCTTTATTTTTCTCATACTGCCTGTGCTGAAACCAGAGCCCAGTCTGCTCTGATTGGTTAGCTGGCCGGCTCTGTTGTGATTAGTCAACCGCTTATAGATGTCCCGCCCCTTAGCCTAATAGGGCCAATATATAAATATATACCCCTTGATATTGTAGTACACAAGCTACTGGAGCCATCAGCCTGATATTTCCTGTGCTAATATATGAGGTGCAGGGGGAACTAGGTAGTGCAAGTGATCAACAACTGGTCGGTTTGCAACCTTGTTTGTCTGGGGATTAGGGATTTCTTCTGGTCAAGAATTGCACGCCATCTGTGTCTAGGCTGTAAGTGTGTCAAGTTGTTTCCTGTGAGTGTCAAGCCAAAGATAGTCTTTCATCTGAATCTCTGCAGCAGCTCTGTGTTTATTTTTTTATGTTGTACCCACAGCTAAGGTGTCTTCCATTGTTCATCCTATTGAGAGATTTTGTTTGTATACTTAGGTAAAAGTAGCAATACTAAATTGTAAAAATACTCTGTTCTAAGTATAAAGCCAGCATTACAAATCTTGAATTTTCAAAAGTATTGGCATCAAAAAATACTTCACGTACCGAGAGTAAAAGTACTCATTAAGTGTGTTTTGGCCCATTTCAGCATCATATATTACAAATGACTGGATTATGATTATGGATGCTTTAATAGGTCTTTTACAGCCTGTAAAGGTGAGGTTGATTTTGAAATACTTTGTGCCATATCTTATCCCTATAAATATATATTAAAGTTGATTTATTAGTTGATTTACATGTTGTATTAGCTAAAAATAAGAAATGGAGAAGTAACTTGTAACTAAAGCTGGATACTGGCTTCCAAAATGTAGTTGAGTACAAGTGTAATGGAGCATAAGAAAAGAAAATACTCAAGTAAAGTTCAAGTAAATGTATTTTCTTGCCTGCTGCCTAAAGAAAGAGGATGTCATGTGCTGAATAGATGGTAAAGCCCCCTTACATACATAAACAATTGGTACCCAGTAAACACTTCTCTAATCGACTTCTTATTGAACGCTTTTACATTTTTATTGTATTCTTATTGGCTGATCATCTAATTTGGACTTTTGATATTATTGTTTTTCATTGTTCCTTATGTATTGCTGTTTATATATTGATTCTGTATCGTGTCATCCTTTTCTTAATGTGTAAACTGTATAGAATACATTTATCTTTATACTTTCAGGTTTAGTGTCAAATATGAATGACTCAAATGTCAATCAAATGCAGTGTTGATGGGAAAATAGATAAGGACTACTCATGCATGTTGGGGAATAATTTGCTTAGGTATTCAACCTTCGACCCAGTTCATCGTTTTCTCTTTTTACTGTCTCTTTTCCCATGGCATAGTTCTACGGCCTTGGGGATTGCTGCTATCTCTCTTAAGGAGGGGCAGCTTGGGCGCATTGTTGTTGCCAGCTTATGACCGAGCACAAGCTGACATGAGGTAGTTTATTGTTCAGGGACATCTAGAAGCCCTTCTTTTTAGGAACGCAGCTCTAGTTAGATTCAGGGTCCATATTTGTTTAGTCTCGCTGATAAAGAATGTTGGTTATTACACTCCGAACTAGTTAAAACCTGGAACTACAGAAGAGTTCTTCAGAATTGATTGTGGCATCTCTACCGTGTGGTCCGATCGTGGCCCGTGACATGTCTTGTGAATTCTCCGGCCGAAGCTCCAAATAAACCGTCAGTGTTTGCCATCAAAGCTCCAGCTCTCCTCGTGTTTCTCTGAGTCCTGACTCCAATTGCTTCAGAAGTTTCCCCCACAATGCACATTAAAATAACACTGCATAGAAGTATAGACCTGACATTAATGAAAGTTCATGTGCTACCTGAGTCATGTGACTAAATCACTTCAAATTCTCCAGTTTTATAAAACTTCATCATTCGTTTTTTCCCCTGACACTACTGTTGATCCATTAAGATCATTATGCATCAAACTTAATGTCAAAATTCCCTCCGGAAATATCTTTTTCGAGACTCTTGTCTACAGTGCAGCCATCAGGGGTTTCCCTGGTCGCCTTACACTTCCTGTCAGAGAGTAACCTGACTCCGGATCAGTCAGTCGGAGGCCGGGACAATGTGGCAGCAGAGGAGACTCAAAATACACGACAGCACATTAGACAGAGACGCAGTAATAATTAATAAGGCTGAGGTTTACTTTATATCGAACAACTGATAAAAAATTCATGAACACATTCTGGAGCACGGGACTACCAACCAAATGTAGGATATAAATTAAACATCCATCTGAATCAGCCTCCACAATAAAGGTGCAATGTGTGGAGTATTTACATTAATAACTTATTGTTTTTACACGCAGAGTTAACACAACTGACAGCCTCTGATGGCCTTTAACCTGTATTACACACAGGGTTGAGTAGTAACAGATAGCATGTATTCAAGGATTAAAGGTAGGGTAGGTAAGTTTGAGAAACCGGCTTGAGATACACTTTTTGTTATATTCCATGGAATGCTCTTAACATCCCGATAGCAATGAATATCTTAAGTGCTTTGACAAAAAACTCATAAAAAAATGTCATCTGTGGAAGCTGTAATACTGTAAAAAGTACGACCAATCATTTTAGCCGGCCCGGCTAAAATAACTGGATGGCCTACCTGCCTGTCAGCCTTCCATCTGTGCACAAACTTATCTCGTGCCCTCATTGGTCATGTGCGCGTTCGTGTGTGATGGAGGAGGGGCTCTATAAGGAAGTGGCAGATTTTCTCCGGTTGTGTATTTTCAAATTCTAGCGATCTCGAGCCGGTTTCTCAAACTTACCTACCCTACCTTTAAGTCATCAGATTAGAACATGTAAACAACTTTTTCCCGGAAAGACGGTATTTGAAAATAAATACAATTAGATTGTAGTACCACTGACAAGGATTATATCTTTAAAGAATGCTATTTTTTTTTATTCTGAAACTTTTTTTCAATTTATGAATGAAAAGTGTGCTTTGTAAAATACAAGTTGTACACCTGGAGTGTGTGCCTGTAGATTTTGTAAGTGATATTTAATTTGATCAACAGTAATGCTAGATTACAAAAGCAATATAAATCAAATATCAATATTTGTGAATGTTTGTGCCATATTTGAATTAGATTTTGGTAGTATTAGGTGCAACATATTACAAATAGTTGTGAGTTGATTGCAAATGAGCAAAAATATAGTTTGGAAAAGACGTAATGTTAGGCAGAAATTAATGTTTGTTTTGATCGATCCACGAATGCAGCTTCAACACGTTTTCTTCCACTCCCCAAGATCTCAAAGTGACATTTAAAAATATATATATATATTCTAAAATAGCTCAAATAAGTTTCATAAATACAAAAAATGCATATATTGCCAAGTCGTACTTCAAAAGCTGACATTTTGTTGAAGTTTTTAGATAATGTTTTCCTCTCTTTGCGCCTTGGAAGTAGGTGAAGTTGTGCCAGTAACCCAGTTCTACTCCCCGTGAAACTGTTTTAAAATCACTTGTTGCTGACAGGTTTCCCTTTTCTTCTGTCTCTTAAGCAAATCAGTGCACGAAAAGAGAAACAGACGCAAGTAAAATAAACAAACAACTAAAATCAAGACCACATACGCAGCTTATCTTTTCATTTTTCATTTGATCTAATCATTCTAATACTCAGGTTATTTCACAACAACATGGCCACCTGTAATACAACTAAGTGGTGCTTGTGAAAATGTTTTAATTTGTGTGTACAACAACAGCTTGTATATCTAAGTTTGCTGTAGGCAAGCTGTAGGCTTGTGGAGCATTTAAACTTGTTGACCGACTTGCAGGCAACGTAAGGCAGTGAGCTCTTTAAAACGAATGATTTGGTGTCTGTCTGTGTCAGAGTCTTTACCTGCGCTCTCGGTGCCTGCTGGGTCTGTGGCTCTGTCGAGGGATGGAGGTGCTCTGGCTGCTCCTCAGACATCCCATGACGGGGGAGGGGGGCAAGGCGGCACCCCGGGGGGCAGATTCCCCCTCGGCCTCATCAACAAGGGAGGAAGTAGAACCTCCCATGCTGCTGGCTCAGGAGGAAGCGCCCTGAAGGAGGAGGCAGAGGGAGAGTTTGAAGTGAGATCAATTATTCTGATAATGGAGTACATAAATGTTTACAACAAATAATGCAGAATATTCACAGAAAAGTGGTTGCTTTGTATTTGGATAATCAATAATGTAACTTTTCATGCAAAAATGTAAGAAAAATGCAAATCTCAAAATGGGGATTAACTGCTTTTCTAATTTTTGTATCATACTAAAGTAAATATGTGTGACAAAACAATACTTTTAGAGTGATCACCTTGGACATATTTCTCCTTTTTTATGCACAAAACTAATCGATAAAACTAAAACATATTCAGCAGATTAATCGATAATGACAGTGATTAGATTTTGCAGCCCTAACTTGTTTTTACAGTCAGTACATTTGACTCATAAAAGATGTCATGTGTAGACATGCAAGTAGCAAATATTTTCATTGTTGCTTAATTGGTGTAATTAATTAATTAATTAGCTGCTTGAATTATTAAAAAAAAGAAAATAGTAAATTACTGTTTCTTTTTGTCTTCATCTAAAATATATTCAGTTTGCTGTTATAGATGCGCAAATAAAGAAGACAAATATTTACATTTAGGAAACCAAAACCAAATAATTTTGACTCTTTTTCTTTAAAAAAAACGACTCAAAGTGATTAGTTAATTATCAAAATAGTTGGTGATTAATTTGATAATTTAAAGACTAATCGATGAATCGACTAATGGTTGCAGCTCTTGCTTCAGCTCCCTCCCTGCTCACTCCAGTTTTGTCCTTGAACAAGGACTTAACATCTGTGTGATACCATCAGGAGCTCCAGCTTCAGATGTGTGTGTGTTACAGACACACAGTTCAGAAGACATGTTCTCCATCGAAAATGTCCTGTATCATAATAAAGATACAATCTTAAAGCATTTGTCACATACTGTATATCTGGTTTATCATGCATCTGCTTCTGCATGACTAAAATCAGTACATTAAAATGTAAGATTTCAAAACTTGAAAGTGAATAAATACTCTTTGTGTTGTTTGAAGAAAGCATGCATGCTGAGTGAATCCCTCTGCACCTCAATGCAGATGCTTCCCTGCTGGTAGTGAAGTTCAAATAGACTTTAAGGTAACCTGGTGCACCTGCAGTACAGCTGGTGGCTGCGTGGGAAGCTGCAGAGCGGCAGGAGGACACTGAGACACAAAGCAGCGCAGGGGAGAGTTAGTGAGACTTACCCGACTGCAGACAGGACACTCAGTGCACCAAGGAGAAGAATATTCCTGCCAGCTGCCTGAGATCTCCATGCATCCTCTTTAATTGAAGCCCGATGTGCACAGTCACCACTGTTCTCCTCTCACCATCATAGACAAGCCACTGGGAATAAAACACACTTCCTGTCACATAATTCACAATAAAGCTGCTTTTGACAGATACGGTTTGCAATGAATTTAAATGCATGCTTTTGATAGGCAAACAAATACAAATGTTCATGTAAAGTGCGATTCTGTCACGAACTCATCATATATTTGTTGTGATCTTTTAAATATCATTTGGAAAATCAATTGATCTAGCTTGAAATATTTTCTTCTTTGCACTTTTACACTTCATATATGCTTTATTGACTTTATGTTTTTAATTATTAATCAATTGTTTATGTTTTTATTTGATAATCTATTGTTTCTGTTGTTTTATTCTAATGTTATTAATTTTGAACTATTTCTTAGTTATCAGCAACTCTTTTGATAATTTATTTACTATAAATTGTTTTACAAACAAAACTGGGAAAACGTTTTTGGTTCCAGCTTCTCAAGTGTAGATATTTGCAGTTGACATATATTAGGGTCAATATAATATTATACATACAACATTTTGGGCTGCTGGTTGGACAAAACAAGCAAACTGTGGACATCTACATTGTACCCAACAGTAATAAAAAAAAACTACAATATAAATGAATACAACATCCTCACCATTTTTCACACAGACATGTTTATTTTGAAGGTTCCCTCTGTTTCCGGTCCTCGCAGTGGCTAACTGTGGCTAGCTTCACTCACTGTGCAGCTCTCTCCCTTAGCCCGCCGCCGTGGACAATTACCTTTGTTTCCCGGGACATCTGTAGGACGGAAAGGACACCGGGCAGCAGCAGCCGGGGCGTATCGATCTCTCATCCGGTCAAGATGAATATCTTCTTCCCACATTAAGTTCCAGCATAATGGAAGCTACATACCGAGACAGTCGGTTCAGTTACATTTCCCCACCAGACTCCATTATAAATATAGTAATATAATATTGCTTGATTTATACACGTGTGTACATTCTGTAAAACATAAATTAAAGTTTGTCTTAGGAATCATTGCTGCTTTCTTTTTAATTCGGCATAGACCACCAACCACTTCAAACATATATAATAACATTAAGTAAATAATAGCAGCACTACTTAATTTCCAGGAAAATATCATTCAACATTCCTAGGTTTTTACCAATGACTATGGTTTAGTCTTTGAACTAACAATGTTCCTGTCAAATGGTATACATCTCTGTTCGTGATACTTATTGGAAAAAAGTAATTAACAGCTAAAGTTAAAAGTGACCTTCGTTTCTTGACATATCACAACTCATACAGTGTTTATTCGGCAAAAGTGGTTGAGCAAAGTAGTTTGAGGTAGTTTATGAATGTTCTTAACTGCTCATTTTAGTTAACTTAGCATTAGCCTTATGAAGCTTAGTTGCTTTTGAACCCATTTAAAGTTGTTTCGATTCGGAAAACGTTGCTTCTTGTCGTAGTACATAGTCATTATTGTATATAACCAATGTTTACACCAAAAAAATCTAAGTTATAGATTCAGTTTTCCTGGTTTGTGGCAGAAATAAACCGTTAATTGTTTGTCTACCATTTTGAAAGCCTTTTTAACGTTCACGTTCAACAAGTGGACAGGCGAGGGGAACCAATCAGATTCGACCAAATACAAAAAACGTTTTGGGAAATTAAAACATTTGTATTTTGCCCTTTTCTTGTTGTTTTAAAAGTTGTTTCCCTTACATATGACTTTAAGAGTATATGAACGTCAAAAACTCAACAAAAAGACAGGCTGAATCATGCAAACAAATAGTAATGTACCCAAACGTCAAAAATCCACCTGGAACAACTATAAATACAACACAAGTAAATGTTATTGAGGAACATTCATGTTACAGTAACATTTACTAAAAGTTGATTTATTTAGTTTAATACCAAAATGTATCCCTTAAAATCGCATCTGTAAAACATGTGATTCAAATAAACAGGCTAAACAAAAGTATCTTTTACATCAGAAGCAATATCATTTATCAAATCTCAATGTCAGAATAAACTTCAAATCTGAGTCAGTGTTTGATTGCTGAAACTTGAATTAAAGATACTTTAATAGAAAAAAAGTTTTAATAGAAAACTGCAATGATTACTTTCAAACACACGCAGAATAACATTTCTGAATGAATGAAATATGGAGAGACAACTTCTATATTTTTATATCTAGAGGTTTTAAGAAAAGTCCTTTTTATCAATATTTAAAAAGGTTTATCCTCTGTACAGTGGCCTTTTAAGGACATTAATCGCCTGATCTTTACGTCATAACTGACATGTTTTTCGTGTAGAGCAGCCTAGGATAAAGAACAATGTTTTCTGATGAACTAAAACATTCAACAGAATTTTTGTTGTGTGTTTAACAGCGTTCCCTGAAGGCACCACGGTGTCCCAGCTTCTTCTTCTTCTTCTTCTCTGGTCATTTTCTCCAAACCTCCTCCCCAGAAATAAATGTGGCTTTGACGTTGAGGGTGTCATCGAGCAAAACCAGGTCTGCAAACACAATAAATGGATTATCGTTTCCGTCTGTACGCTGCAGAGAGAATGATTTATCTTCCAGTAAATCCTCACCTGCGTCCGACCCAAAGTCCAGGTTTCCCTTCCTGTGGCTGAGACCCAGGAGTTGAGCGGGATGCAGCGAGGCAGCTTCCAGAGCCTCCTCTACACTGCAGCCTGGGCGTATAAGAAATTGAAAGAAGATTAGTTAAGTTTGCAAACAATTTGGTTATCTTTTAACAGTGAGACATATTAATGCCTGGGGAAAATTGGGTTTTGTTACAGTTGCTCCATTTCAATTAAATCAAAAATAATTAATTTATTAAAATATGCAGACTGTACTGCAATATATAACGACAATAGATATGTAAACATATTAATATTCTAATATATACAATAGTGAAATAATATTGTTTCTGAAAATAAGATATATACAATTGTGTAAAAAGTGTTTAACGCTGAGTGGCACAATTAAGGTACGTCAAAATATAGCTTGAAATATATATTCTAATACTGTATTAATGCCAAAGTGGTATACATTTTACACAATTGAATTGTTTTTGCAGATATATCTATTTTTTTCTCTTTAATTTGTCTCTTTATTTTTGTATTACTTGAAATGTTGTCCAGAAGTTAGCTGTAGTATAGGTTATGCGTAAAGTATCAGTATCATTTTGTTTGTTGAACTATGTATTCTTTTAAATTGTCTTATTTATTGCAGGATTCTTGATTGAATATTGAAAATAATTTTGATACTATAGAACGAAGATGTCCTGTCCAACCTCAATGTTATTTTGTGATCAATTGTCCTTATTTCTGGTTCTGACAAATCATTTTTGGTGACATATCTCAGTATTTTCTGGGAAAACAGAGACGTGTATAGGTTTTCCAAAATGTGTAATCTCTTATTTTGTTGCATAAAAACTCACCTGAAGCATGTTTAAAGTGCCGCACACACATATCCATCGTGGCTATGCTGCCGCTGAGTGTCTTAGTGCCTATAACACAGAAAGATTTCAGAACATGTATTTATTTGATAATACATTTGTGTTGCCTCTATAAATCCCTCATAGTTGGTTTCATTGCCAAAAGAAAATGTGTTACTTTTATTTTTCAAACCAAGATAGGAAGTAGAGACCTGCCACGTAGGCATGGAGACCCTGGATCTCGATGACCAGCTGACCCAGAGTGTGACGACCAGGGGGGAGCCCCATCGCTGTGATCGCATCCGTCACCAGCACCAGACCTGAGGGGACACACAGACAAGAGGACGGGAGGTGATGTCAGGACAAGGGCAAACTCTTACTACCAAACACAACAACAACAACAACCATGATCTCTACTGCCTACTGGGCCAAAGAGGTTAGGGGCAAAAAGAGTTGCAGCATGACCTACAAGATACAAAACAACCACAAAAAGATTCACAACTTCCACAAAAGAATGCAAAATGTCCACAAAGAGACACAACAAACTAAAAATAACTCACAAAATAGAGGCAAATCGTTTTTGACTGATAGAAACAAAAACAAAAAAATGCAAAACAACCAGAAAGAGATGCTTCACAAACCATAAGGAAACAACAATAATAAAGACACAAAAGGCTACCCAAAGATGCACATTGTCTACAAAGAGATACAAAATAACCAGAAAGAGAAAACATACCAGCACGAAGAGATGCAAATGTACCAAGAATAAATGCAAAACAACCAAAAACAATAGAACAATATCTACAAAGAGGTAAAAGGTACAACTAACTTAAACAGACACAAAACAACAACAAGACAAAACAAGACCACGAAGACATGCAAAATGACCAAAAGAGATAGCCAAAACGTCACTGCACCGACCTGAGGGGTGGGCTCTGTGTGCGATCCTCAGCGCTGCAGGGTTGGTGTGGATCCCGTCAGCGATCATGCCGTAGTAAACCGTCCGGCCTGCAGGGACCTGATCACTGGTCAGCAGACCCACGATACCAGGGTCCCTGTGGTGGAACTGCAGAGCAGACAGGAGGAATTCATGTGAGCAATGACATCAGGAGTGAAGGGAGTACTCAGATACTCTAATGCAGGGGTCAAACTCAAGGCCCGGGGGCCAAATCCGGCCCGTGACTTCATTTTCTGTGGCCCCACAAGAGCTTGCAAAGAATATTATATGTTTATTATACGGTTACATGATGATTTACAGAAGCACGTTTCCCATAAACTACATGTCCCACAATGCATCTCAAATTAGACTTTTTTTTCTTCTAAATATGCCTTTTTTCTCAGAATTTGACTTTTTTTTTTAAATGTCACTTATTTTTTTTTATTTCGACTTTTTTTCCAGAATATGGCTTTTCTTTTTAAACATTTTGTGACATTCTCACTGAAGAGACTTGCAATTATTTGCCCCAGACTTCTGCTTTCAGACGTAGTTAATTATGAAGTTATTACCCTATCTGATAATAATCCAATGCAGAGGCAATAATGTAATATAATACATTATTTTATATATATATATATTTATATTTATATATGTATTTTTATATAGTCTTAAAGTTACAACCGGCCCTTTGAGTGCAGCCCTAATGCTGATGTGGCCCGCGATTACATTTAGTTTGACACCCCTGCTCTAATGCAATAAAAGTACTTATACCACACTGTAAAAATATGCTCTTACAGTAAGAGTTCTGTATTGAAATGTTCCGTCAGTCATAGTTTAATCAAGAAGTATTAAAAGAAAAAAAATGTGCAAGGCTGTGACAAATTAAATGATTGTTTATGTAAATAACCTAATATCACAACTAATTTGACTCAAGGGGTTACACAGGTCAACTAGACATAGATGACAGATCAAAAAAAGCCCAAAGTGACACCTTCACAAAGTACAGTAAAGCATAAACAAAGGGAAAGTCGCTCCACTGTGATGTAAAAAAGATACTGTAAGTTATTTTATCAAGAAACTATCTTTAAATAATGACTTGTCATTTGTTGGACTCACAGGCAGCATGGCATTGAAGAGGTGGGTGATGAAGGAGGCTCCGTGTTGAACGGCCTCCTCCGCCTGAGACATGTTGGCTACAGAGTGACCTGCAGGAGCAGAAGCATTCTGTTAATAGAGCCAGAGGAGCTAAATGCAGCGAACAAAACTGCATCATGTGTTTTTTATTTGTTTACATTTGTGCATCCTAAGGATATGTGTAGCTTTTATTTACATTTAAATTTTTTGGCTGTGTGACTTTTTATTTGTATTGCAAGTGTACCCTCTGTTTCTTTCAAATGTACATAATAAAGTTGTTTGTAATTTGAGGTTTCCTTGAGCTTTTTGGATGTGAGTAAACGCTGCTCACCTAACGACACCGTGATTCCCTTCTGGCAGAGATCCCTGATCACCGATTGGCTGCCGTCCAGCTCCGGAGCCAGTGTCACCATGGCAACGCTGTCCAGGCCGCCGTAGGTTTCCATCAGGTCCCTGAACCCGCCGCTACTGAAGGTCCTGAGAAACTGCTCCGGGTGAGCTCCTTTCTTCTCCAGGCTGATGAACGGGCCCTCCAGGTGAAATCCTGCAGACAGGAAATATACAATTATATTTATAAAAAGATAGATACAGATAATACAATATTTTAAATGGTATGTCTGCCAATGTTGGGGTATATCAAAGCCTGATGTATCTCGGTACTGTCCTACTGACACAAATACTCTCTTGAAAAAATTTTGTTACATTTGCAGATAAGTAGAAAAGTAGAACAAAGCAAAGATTCAGAAGTCCTAACATTTGGGAAAAGAAGGTTGTGGTTTTATTTCAACTCAATCCCACAAACACCGTCCTTTTGACACAAATACTCACTAGAGAAAAAAGTCAAGCAAGGTTGAAAAGGACAATTATAATTTTAAAATGTTTTAAATGAATTTAATTGAAAACATTTATTTTATTTTTATTTTTTTTTATTTACTTTATATTTAATTTTTATAATTCTAAAAGTTACCAGACATTTTGTGGGGGCAATTCAACTTTTTATGTAAAAATTGATAAAAAATAAGTAATATTTCAAGAAAAAACAAGCTAATATTTAAGAAAGAAATAGAAAGATAAAGACAATCTTAATAATTCCTTCTTTTTGTTGATGAAGCTAAACAGAGCCACCGATAGGAAGCAAGACCATTTTAAGAAGCAATAACAAATTGTTGGTTTTTATGTTTTCATGGGAAGACAAAACACAACATAAATATACAGAATATATCCAGACTAATCCTCTAACATGATTCAGTCAGATTACACCCACCAAGAACTCCAGCTCCATGCGCTCCTCCATCTTGAACTTTGACCTGAGGCAAAACCTGAAACACATTTTGAGTAAGATTCTATTTTGTAGAAATACACATTTATTTCAGTCCTTATTGGAAATCCAAAACAATGCACATGTTAATATGTTTATAAATAAATAACATGAGGCATTTCATTTTAAGGGTAAAAAACAATATCCCTTATTATACCTCATCATATTCTAGAGCTTAACGATTTGTAAAAGATATCTGATTACAATTATCTAGTCTGATATTACAAATGTGATATGATCCACAATATTGTAGGGAATTATACTTTTTGTATAAATATTCTTATTCTTTATTTATAAAAAATAAAATATATGAAAATTAAAAAATATATGAAAATAATTATGGTGTGATTTTTGCCTTTAAGCATCTCTTACGATTTGGATTTTGCAGTAATCAATATTGTGAAATGAATTCATTCTTATTGATTGCAAATAGTTTGGTGCTTGATATACAAACAATGCAGGACCTATACTGGCTATCCCTCCTCTGGTTCCTGATGTGGAATAAAGATTTAAAGCTGGTTATAAGTGTTACCTTGTGGTAGACGTGGGGGGGCGAGGTGACCAGCGTGGGGCAGAAGGACGTCACGCCATGCTCCAGGATCTTTTTGGCCACTAAAGAAACTCCGCTGCCGGCATCGTCACAGGCCTGAGAGAAATCGATCCCGTATCCTCCTGCAGAGGAAATGACATGTTTCATCTGAATAATCTCCAAAAGGAAGATTCTCATGGTTTGCTCATTAAGCTTCAGAGTGGTTTTTGAGTTGCAGGTTCAGTTTTTAGTTAGGGGACCAAATTAAAAAAACATCTGCGATCTCTCTGTGAACTTTTATTTAACCTTTTTTTTTTAAATCACAGATGAATAGAGTGCCACAGTGCCACAGTCCTAAAACCCGGAAGTAAGTTAGCATTTTACCTACTTTTATAATTTTCGAATCATAAATCTATCGATCATAAATCTATCGATTAGATTGATGATTAGAAAATTACAAAAGTAGGGTAGACATGTGGAGATTATCCGACTGAACAAAACGTGATCTGTCTCTTCAATGTGTCTCAACCACAGACCTTATTTCCAGCTATTTTCCAAAATCCTATGGAGAAATTGCATTGGTTTTTGTCGAAGGAACCGGAAGGAGTTTACTTCCGGGTTTTAGGACGCGTCACTGCACCACTCTATAGACACTGATTGTAAGTTGCAGACATAATAAAATATTCATAATTGTTGCAGATTAATGTATTGATCTATAAAGGTTTACCGATGTTGGTGTTCAAACGAAAAAAATATTACACATGATATGACAGAGCAGAAGCTGAGGTATTTAAATGTTTTCTTTGTCTGGGGGGGGGGGGGGGGGGGTTTACCATTGATCTGAACGTCTATAAAGCCCGGGGCGATGATGCTGCCTTCACAGTCCACACACTTGTCGGCGTAACCGTGCTCATCGAAGAAAAGTTTCTCTGGATCTAAAATCTTTCCGTCACGCACCCACAGGTCCTCTCTGCATGAAAACACACACACGCACACACACACACAGGTACTTCAATAAAGTATTTCCATTTTAAAATACATTTAAAACATGTAATTTTTACTCCATTAGATTTATTACAGTTTTCATATAGCTTATGTAGAGCAGGTAAGATACATGTACAGTAAGAAAACATCAGGATGCAGCATTCCTTTATGAAGAACATTTTCCCTTCTCTTAGACTAAATATTGTCTTCAAAAGAACTCTTGGATCAGCTGGAATATGTATCGTCACAAAACCCAAGAATAGTTGAGTTTCTAGAGATATGTGGTTCTCATTGGACAGTGAAAACGCTACAAGAATATGATGATCCTATAGATTATATTGCTGCAGATTAAACTAAAATGCAACATAATGCAGCAGTAATAATACATCAGAAACATCATTTATAATAGTTTAGTGTGTGTGTGTGTGTGTGTGTGTGTGTGTGTGTGTGTGTGTGTGTGTGTGTGTGTGTGTGTGTGTGTACCTCTGCAGACAGTGGTCTCTCAATATCCTGCAGTTGATGAACTGAGTGATGGGAGCATCGGACACTGATTTGTTGGATGGCATTTTTTTGAGTGGAGTGGATAAGCTTCCTCTGAGAAACACAGCAGAATAAATCAAACACTCCTCTTGGGGTGCATAATGTGATTAAATGTAACACTTAATGACAACAACACATTTGAAAATCAAAGTTCCCAAAGATCCCACCTTAAAAAACAAACGTGGAAATTAGGGCTGCAACTAACAGTTATATTAATTTCAGGACATAACCTAAACCCCTGCACCTTAAATAGTGGTTGCTGCCAATTAATCCACATTTAGATAATTTAACAAATGCCTTTTTTAAAGTGTGTGTTGACTTGTAACCCTTTTGATAATTACTGTACCATCTGAAAGACATGTCTCAATCACTTTATCTGATGATGCACCAGTATTAAATCATATCTAAAATCTTATCAGTGTAGGTGCAGCAGTTGACTTTGACCTCTGGTCTTCTTGTTGCTACAATAACTGTCTCTGGCTCTGGTTCTCTGGGGGGAAATGCACAACACCAAACTCCATGCAAAAAAACAGTAAATTAAAGCTTTTGATAGCTCTGACCTACTTTACATACCTTGAGAGACAAAGACGTAAAATGTCAACACTTGGAAGAGTCCAGTAGTCAACTCGGCATACACTCAATGTTTAATTCAACACGTCCTCCAGTAAAATATGAACTTCTTCTACCGCCACACCGTCGCTCTGCTTCCACACAAATACAGGAGATAGCTATGTTAAAACCCCATATTTTATAACCGAGTTCGTTGACAGTACATTCCGTATTTCCCTTCAGATATTTTGACTTTAGCAGGCAAAACTTAAGCGAACTGTTGTTTTACAGTGTTAAAGTACTTATCTAGATGTGGTACCAGCCCCAGCCAGGAGCGTTTTCAGCTGATTCTGTGGAATAGAAACAGGGGAAACGGATGTCATGTGACGAAACGGAGCTGCAGGTCAGCTGATCAAAAAAATAAAATAACTGTCCCAGCAGTTTTATCATTTGAATCCTGCTGAATACTGTATTCTGACACTATACTTCAGTACAAATACATTAATGCAGTTGTATTGTGGCATTCCTTCATTTAAAACCACAAGTTTGATATTTTTCAAAATACATTTGAGAAATGACTGCAAAAATAAATAAATATGCAAAATTATATTAACTGTATTCACACAAAGGAATAGCTATGCAGTGTGTGTGTGTGTGTGTGTGTGTGTGTGTGTGTGTGTGTGTGTGTGTGTGTGTGTGTGTGTGTGTGCGTGTGTGTGTGTGTGTGCGTGCTCAGAAACGAAAGGCGCACGTAGACACTAGATGGAGCTAAAACACAACACTAGTTATTTCCCCAAATACAGAAACCTCACTTGACTTCTCTTCTAAAACCCTTTGTCAGTGCCATGAGTTCTGTATATGTATATGCATTAGTACATGATGCTTTTGAAGCAGCATCATGTATGTCTATAGCTACCTCTGTTATTCATATCTTATAGTCTAAAATGTTGTTTTGTTCTGATTACATCCTTTATGGAAAGCCAATTCTCTGCAGGTTAAACACGTTCGGCTTTGATACATTACTGATAATCTTTCTCTACGTTTACTTGTGTGGAATCTTACAAATGTAGGACTTTAACTTGTTATTTTGGCTGCTACTAACGACTGTTTTCATTATTGATTTACCTACAGATTGTTTCATAGATGTATCATTTGGTGTACAAAATGTAAGAAAAAAGTAAATAAAAGTCTACCCCAGTAACTTAAAGCCCAAGGTGATGCTTTTAAATGTCTTATTTTTTGGTCCAAAACCCAAAGATATTTGCTTTAATATGAAAAAAGAGCAGCAAATATATAACAATTAAAGGCAGTCCTGCATGAGTTACTTAAACGATTGAAGAAGAGCTTTCTTTTCTGTGAATCTACTAATCTTTGCAGCACAGTGTGACTCATGAAGCTTTGACTGCAGCTTGTACTTGTAATTAAGTACTTTTACAGTCATCTTTTTATACTTTTAATAAAGAAATCCTTTGCTCGCCCAACAGCAGGGAAACGTACAGTGTTAAAACAGCAAAGGCTTACACATTAAATACATATAGTAAATTCAGAAGCTTGGTTAAATGAAGTAGCAGCATCATAAAAGTAAGTGAACTAGTTGGCAGAAATAAACAGTATACAGTATATATTGCAGTCAGTAATCAAGTATTTCTACATCAAAGTATTTGTCCTTTGATCTCAGTAGAGTACTGCTGCCACACTGTACGTTTGCACACAGTGCAGGTGCATGACCACTTATCGTCCCACCTGACTTGAGGTTAGCAGGACAATGAAGTTAAACCTCTGCAGGATATCTTCACACTACCAGGAAGTAGCTGCACCAACCTCTGTCTGCAGTCCTAACCCCCCCCCCCCCCCCCCCCCCCCTTGCAGCAACCCCCTCCCCATTCCTGAAAGTCAACAATAAACTACGTTTCCAGTAAGCCGGATACCTCCCAAAGGCCTGCTCATCCCCATGGAGACCACTACGAGGGTCCGCAGGCCTGCGTCCCCTGGCCAAACCCGGCCACCCATGAGGTGGGAGCAGCTATGGAGAACTCACATAAGTAAATACATATACAAGTAGTAGTACAATAATGCTGCTGCAGCTGATCTACAGTCTGGAGTCCTCACTAACACTCCAGCTCCAGCTCTGAGGTCTTTACTCTGACTTCCTTTCTGCCAAATACTTGTTACTTCAGAAATGTTGATTATCTTAAAACACTAAAGGGTTAAGGGCCATGATATGTTTCCTATCTTCTGCTACATTATGAACCATGTAGATCGAATTCCCCTCTTCTTTATAACCACTGATATCAGGTAGCATAAAGAGGAAAGACTCAAGAAGGTACAAGTACCTTAAATGTGTCTTTAAGTATTACTTTAAAACACTGGAAGAGAAGGACAGAATATATTTCCCCCAGTATGGATCAGAAAGATCTCCTCAAAGCGTCTCTGCATGGACATAAAGAGGATTCTTGGCCGGTGAGTATTTGCGAGGAGAACCAGGACTGGTGTAATATATTTTACTGTCTCCGTGTCCCCCTCTTTTGTGGGCTGTGACGTCAGTGTTCCCCTCAGTGACACAGTAGCTTTGTTTTGGAGTCTCCACATCTCATTCACGGCCGCTTAGCTCAGAGTCCGGGGTCTGCGCAGTGGCCTTTCAGCATCCAGACTCCTTAATCCTCCAGTTTTTTAAGGCCCTGAATAAGCAGCCGTTTGTGTGCTAGGTTTAGGGGCGGCGGAGTGCTTCTTGTTACGCCCAGGCCTAGGGGAACCTAGGCGCAGCACAACATTGCCCTCTCCCCACTCTTCCCACTCCCAAGAAATGGTCAATGACACAAGAAAATGCGTTTGGTAATTTTAATTACCTGTTTAACGGGAAATGTCGACTTGCAAAACAATTGCTGAGGACAGAGAGGGGACGATTGCTGGCAAGGTCATGGTGAAAGGTGACACTGCTCACATTTGGAGTTTGAACACAAACAACAATATGAGTTTCTTCTGTGTTCGTCTTATATGATTTTAAACTGAACATTTTTGAGATTCAAATATGTTGTTTTCAGCTCACATTTCTTGACATTTCAGAGACAAGGTTTGGACAAGATAATAAACGGGCCTATTGGCCCCATCCTCCGGTACGGTGGCCAACAGGTGCAACCGCTTTTAAAAGGGCCAAAACATTTACATTAGGAGAAACACGCTGCAGTTTCACAGTTTGACACAATTGTGCCAAAACTAATGCAAATGAAGAAACATCTTCACCAACTTCACAACACATGCAAAGCATTTAGAAAACATTCACTAACTTGACGACACATGCGCAGCATTTACTAAAAGCACCGCGTAAACAAAAGAGATTTGTATTTGCAGTGTTTCTTTTATGCAAGAACCCTTGCATTTGTTTCCAAGTTGATGATGTTTCTTCATTTGCATGTGTTTTGGCACATATTTGGTGCGTGCTTGCACCTGTCAGCCACCGTACTCAGGGGCCCAACAGGTGAGAGACCCTGTTTGAGGTAACTGCTAAAATGTCCTAGTTGGAAGTTACAAATAGACACAAAATGATCACAAATAAACCAAAACTAAATATAACAAAAACACATAATATGATCACAAAGACACGCAAAACCACCAAAATGTGAATTAGGTAAACCAAGAAGAGACACAGAATGTTTAAATAAAAGATGCTAAATAACATAAAAGGGAAACAAAAAGACACACACTACAACCAAAAGAGAAACAAACACAAACAGGTGTAAGACCTACAAAAAATGGAAATATTGAAATACAAAAAATTGAAAATGAAGAAAGTATCTATATATAAATAATAACACAAATAGGAACCAAATATAAAAAATAATATATATATATAACTTCTCTACATGTATAGAAGTTAAAGTTTAGATGTGGACATTTGAGGTCAAAGTCATCCAGATGATCTCCACCTCTCCTCCTCAGCGACACCGTCACATCCTGTGAGATCTGACGGGTTTGGATTGTTTGCAAACAGAGGTGGAGGGCTGGAAATAAAAGTGAAATCCATTAGCAAACAAAGCCCCAGTGAAGCGGCTTCACACTCACTAATCTGCTCAATCTGTTGTCGTTTGTCCTCAATGACCAGCGGCCCTCCTCCCCTGCAGCCCCCCCCCCCCCCCACCCCCGCTCCTCTCATCCACGTCCTCCTCCTGGTTTAGATGTCTGAGGTAAGAGAACCACAGCACAGACAGTTTCCATATTCATATACTAAAAGGGCCTAAAAATGTCTTGTGTGATAATCAGTCAAGCAGGAAAACATTTCAATGATTCACTAATTATTAAAAACAATTGTTGCCAACAACTTTTTGCTGGTGGTTTACACTTGATTAATTGATCATTAGTTTAAATGTACCTTTAAATAGTATTAATTATTTGTATTATTTATTTTCCTTTTTTTAGTTGTGTAATAATAATACTTTTATTTGATCTCTTAATCTTATTTTATAATCTTGTAATTGTATTTAATGTTAATCTCACTTTATTTTATTTAAATTTAAATGTTATGTTTTATTATATTTCTTTTCTTTTTTAATTGTATCTTAATCTAATCTTATTTTATCTCGATTTTATTTAATTAAATGTCATTTATTTATATTTCTTTGAATTTTCTTCATCATAACAATCCAAGTAATTAATGTTTATTAGTCAGATAATTAAACTTGATGTGACTTCATGTTCAGTCTGCAGCAGCATAAGGTCTCCGTGTATTATTGTTCTAGAAAGCTCTGGATCTCCTGGAAGGGGAGTTTACAAGAAGTAAAGGGGGAAGAGGATAGAGGAGGGGGGGGGAGTATCTCCTTCTTCTCCTTTCCCTTTCTTCACCTCACATCCTCCCCCCATCACCCCTCCACCCTCAGCAGCTCAGGCCTGTTTGCATTCCTCTCAGTTAATAAGTGTTTGTCTGATCCCTGGCGGGGGGTGTAAAGATCACCCCACACAAACACCTCCTCCTCCCACCTGACTCACCCAGCTGTAAAGACAACAAGGAGTGATGCTGCGAGGAACAGAGGGGGAGGAGGGGGGAAGGCGTCATACACGCTGCTCAGCCATTAACTTTATAACAACCAGCAGGCTGCAACAATACATTCAGTACTGTGGACAATCCCCACAGGAGCAATTTGGGGTGAAGTGTCTTGCACAGGGACACAACGACATGCTGACTGCAGTGCCGTGGGACTCGAACTTGCTATCCCCTGATTCGAAGTCCAGCACACTACCCACTGAGCCACAGCCTACATGCAGGGTAAACACACGGCTGAAATCCATGTAAAGGAAACATCTAAAACACACATTTAGGTGTTCATTTTTATAACTTATGCTGTTTGGGTCGTAGATAATTTCAACA